TTAATGCCAATGTTGTGTAATCCACCTTACATACACATCGACTTGTATATATGTATGTACTTACATATATTCATACCTATACTTCAGGTGGAGATACAGCGGAAAACTTTAGAAACAGAAAAGGTTATTTCTCTACAAACGTCCAAGCTATGTGCAACGCAAGACTAAAATTTCAAAATATAGTTGCGAGATGGCCAGGATCTACCCATGATAGCATGATATTTTTTAATTCAGCGGCTAAATGGCATAGGGACAACAACAATTTCAACAATGGTATAATTCTTGCAGATAGCCGGTACTTCATAAATAATTATTTAATGACACCTCTTATGGCGCCACAATCTCCAGCCCAGCGCCTCTACAATGAATCCCACATAAGGACAAGGAATGTGATAGAACGTTGCCTTGGAGTATGGAAGAGACGGTTCCCAGTGCTAAGCATCGGCATGAGGTGTAAAATACCATTAGTACAAGACATAATTGCGGCATCGGCAATAATACACTATCTAGCAATCGAAATGCATGAAGAGGAGCCGCCAGTTGACCCCGAAGTAAATGTTCAGGTGGAACTATCTTGCCAAAATATGGAGTCCGTAATTTCAGATGATAGTGATACACGAAACTCATTGTTAGAATATTTCGATTCATTAATTAGACTTTGAGTTTATTAAATAAATAGTATGTACATACATATGTATGCAAATTTTCAGTACAAAAATTCCTTTATTTTAATATGGTGCTTATCATAACTTTACTACACTCACATTTTGACAAGAATTGACTCTTCATTTTATTATTTTATTTTATTTTTAAGTATAGTTTATTTTACTCGTATAAATCCAAGTACAAATTTTTACGAAAGTTTGTTGGTTTCTTTTTAAATGTTGCACAAATATTGAAACTTGGATTTATACGGGTAGAATAAACTATACTTTTATAAAAAAAATAATAAAATTAATAGTCCAATCTTGTCAATATGTGAGTGTAGTAAAGTTATGATAAGCCCTGTATTTGATAATGGTATTCGCCCCGATTTAGAAATTTTTGCTTAGGTTTAAATGATGCAGTTCTTCTTTCCTCTTTTCTTCATTAATATAGTGAGCCATTCGAACTTCATGTTCTAATGTTTTTTGTTCCATCTCCTTTTTCTTATATTCCATTTCTTTGAGAGCCATATCTTTTTGCAGTTCTACCAATTCGATTCTTGCTTCCGTAAGGTGATCAAATTTGGACTTTTTACATTCTCCTTCTTTTTTGGTTTCCTCAAAACTGGCGTGATTGGAGTTTTTAAGGATTGTGGAGACCACTCGTCCCAATGGTTTTCGTTATTGACTATAAAATATTAAATAATGAAAACACATTAATATTGCTTGCCTAAAATGTAAGTGAGTAAACATTTGTGAAGTGAGCCACCATTTTTTCAAAAGTCGAGTTTTTTGTGTGAAATTGTTTATGGTTCCAAACGCTTAAAACGCTCGTATAAAAGGTATTTAAGTTATCTTTAAATTGGCATCAATACTTTTCTGATATAAGGAAGTACTTGGAAGTACAACTCGACAGCAAACTTTTCAGGCTAGAGCTAAAAGCCTAAAAAGCGCTGAACGCATGAAAAGCTTGTAGTGCAGTTGCACTTTTAATGTCTCTCCATTTTCGCACTCGGTTTGTGTTCACCCTAAAACTTTACAGCTGACATGTGTCATTTTAACAAAATCAAATAAACTGATACCTAAGCAAAACGAAAAATTGGAAGTTTTACGTGCTGTTGTGGATTCTTTTTTAATTAAAAGAACACTCGGGACTGTTTGGTGTAGATTTGTGAGTTTCAAGTTTTGATATCCATAATCAAAAGCTGTTGAAGCAGCACTCCTTTGTGCCGGAAACTACGAACTCAGCAAAACCCCAGGCTTACCAGCGGCGCCAACGTCAACATATGCACCCAACCATTGCATCGAACACAACGCGCCAGCAATCAAAAAGGGCTCCAAGTGTTCCTAGAGAAATTCGTTTTGTAAACGTACGCATAAGTACATTTTCATTAGTTTTTTACAACCAAAGCCATGTGGATTTTCCATTGTTTAGAGAATCATTGCAACTATTCGATATATTGTGTTCAAATACACTATTTAAATATCTATTTATTGCAATAAATAACCACTTCAATGTACATATGTATGTATTTTTGTTTTAAGTTTGAAAAAATTTAAAAAGTCAATATATTCCATTTTAGTATGAAACCACACAATTTCTCCAAAACAGTATTTATCAAAGTTGAGTGTTTTATTATTCTTACGTCAGGAACAGACTATTGGTGCTATTATTGTCTGTACCTAATAAGGTTTAAAAACTGATTTATTAGTATTTTTAGTTGTTTCAAATGCAAAATACTACACTCAGTAAATACGTGTAACATAATTGTTTTGGCGCTACTAAATTTTGTAGGTGAAGCTTCGGTACGGTTTAGTTATTTGTACAACGATTTTGTGTTGCTATTTTTGCTAAATTTACTATATCTGTGCACTATTTTTTTTTTCGGTTTGAAATATGGTATTTTTTGTTGGTTTGCAAAAAATCGAAACTTCCCTGTTGTTCAAACAGCTCCCAAGGGGTATGTGGAGGGGTGAGGAGTTACTTTTCATAAAGCCACCTCCGCCCCCACTCCAAAATCTTTGTAGAAATAACTAAACATTTCCCGAAACTACAACTATAGACTATAGTTCATATAACAAAAGCACCAAATTGGCAACAGAATATGTATATAGATAATAAGATACCATTCGAAAAAAATTTCGCTTGCATTATTTTCTACGTAATAAGTGCTTCTCCATTATTTGGTTTCATAGGGATTCGGATACCTTCCTCATTGAAGTAGTAAAGAAAATTCCCTTAAGTGCCTTTTTCGGTTAGGTGCACAAGTTTTTCGTGCAAAGAAGGATGTGCAGCTAAGCAAAATATACTGTACAACAAAATGTTGATTCAACTTTTGCTATACAGTGAAGAATTACAAGCTTTTACACTCGTAAAGGAAGTGGGCGATGTGTTATGCGATGAGAACAGTAGCATTCGGACGAGGCATTTTACATATCGCTCATTACTTCAATTGTGTGATAATCCAAAATAATATAAAATCGAGTTAAGTATGCAGAAATGACCGATACCCGTTCTTCTATGTTGTGTAGCGAATACCAGAAGCGAACTAGAACAAAATATGTATTCATTTTCACTTGGGAGTAAATGTAAATTGAAAACTTTAAAGCTGTTTTTCTCAAGTTTTTGTTGTTTTTTTTTTTAATTATGAGTAATGACAGCATTATAGTAAATGAGCGATATGTATTTAATTTTATGTTTGGTTTAATCAAAATATGAAGGGCAATCGCAATCTGGTATAGCATTTTCATATTTCGGTGCATTCGCAAATTCCCAACAATAAAATGGAAACGGTTGCACCGAGACTATATGCACGGGATTGTGATTATCCTTATAGAAATGCACGTTATACAAAACACCTGCACCTACGTAAATTTTTGTTATCAGAGTCTGCATTCTTTTTCAGCATATCCGTTTGTTCACTTTTAATACATGGCCTTGGTTCAGAGCAGTTCACATCCTGAGAGTAGAAAGTCTTTTCCAAGCCTATAAGATATTCAAACGAATCAATACTAATCGTGATGCACCAATATATGTAATTTTATACAAACTTAAACCTATTTTTAGCTTTTGTAATAGGCTGATGGAGTACATTAGTATCATGCGTGACCAGATCTTCGTCTGTATTTTCAAGGCAATCGTCAGGATCGACTATAATTATGTCATCTTGCAAATCATCACACACTGGTTCAAACGAAATAGATTCTGAAACACGATCTGAAATCCAAGTATGATTCACGTTCTACTAAAGAAATATATAAACGAAAAACTTACCAACTATGTCGGAATCGTTCCTAGCATCTAAGCCGTCAATGTTGGAGCATAGTGAAAGGATGCGGTTTTCAATATCATTATATGGAGCTTGAGAGTGCGCTCCACCACCGGTTTTGTACAACTCCTGCCGATTTGCTGCAACTTTCTTTTTTAATGCCTTTTTTAGGCTTTCATATTTTAGCTTCAGGGTGATTGCAGAGCGCGAGTTAATTCCGGACTGCAAATTAAATAATTTAGCTATTCTATCCCATGCTGCCTTTTTGTCCTTGTTGGAAATTGTGTCCGTCTTTTTGTTTTCCACGACTACTGGAATTAAGGCATTATCCATTTTACTTTTTTATAAAAACGCAGCACAAACACAAATTTTTCTTTCAAAGTTATGCTATGTATAGTGCTGCCAAATTTCAAATGAAGCAGATCTTAATGTAATTAATATTTTCTAGAATATGGTAATAATTCACTGTGCGCTGGTCGCCAATCGACACCATTTTTAATAGTTCTGAGTTTTTTATGCAAAAGTTTTTGCTATGCTGGAGCACAGTTACTAGTCCTTGCAACATTAGAATACGACCTTCGGACGACTGGTGGGCGTGGCAGTTAAGTGATTTTTACCATCTTTGAGATTTATGTTCAGTTAATCCAAGTTACAAGCGAATTTCACAATTCGGATGGACCGAAATAGGCGGGACTTAGTAGTGTCGCTACAACAACAACAACCGCGAACGAAAACAAATACGGATTAAAAAATAACGGATTCCAGTACGCGTTCTATTCTCCTTACTTCAAGAAACCCCGTAAAAAGCAAATGATGCATTATTATTATATGTGTAGTATGTCTTAACATATAATTTCGGTCCGGTATTTATTTTAACCATTTATTCCACTTACATATTTGAAAACTAAGGCCGGGACATAAAAACTGTAGTAGGCCATAAAATAAAAATATAAGCTGACTTTTGCAAATCCATCGAGTGATATGTTGCATTTCATTAATAAAATATATGTATATATGTATTCAGAAGCTTCTGGCTAGTCTTTTTAAGATATTTTCTACTTAATCAAATTTAATTATATTTTCGCAGATTTGGGACGTAAGTGTTGGTGTGTGTCTATTTACTCTCAGTGGGCATGATAATTGGGTAAGAGGTTTATCATTTCATCCTGGAGGTAAATATCTAATATCAGCAAGCGATGACAAAACTATTAGAGTTTGGGACTTACGCAACAAGCGATGTATGAAAACACTGTACGCACATCAGCATTTCTGCACTTCTATTGGTAAGATTCCTTTTTTACATAAAATTCATATATATATACATTGGGGTGTCCCAGAAATTTTATTTTGCGAAAGTCTATACGCATACCCCTTAAATTTCTTAATTTCACCTTAATACCATAAACCCTCGGCACAACTTACCACTTAAGCTTTTGTATATATTTTTACAATTCTAATAGTTCCTACTACTCCCAAATTTTTGACATTTTGCATGTCTGTTTAACAGATATTAATGAAATTTTGTCGAATTAGGATAATAACGAAAAATGACACTAAAGATGGCACAACGCCGAAACCGGTTTGTCTGCAAACCAAACTTGACAAGGGATGACGGAAATTCGTTCCAAAATAAATCATCTTACCACCCTGTCGGAAAAATCAACCAACACCAATACATAATAAGTTTCTTTGTTTATATCAAATAAATAAAAAAAAAGAAATATTTCGGCAGATATATTGAAATCCTATTCCTATTTTTTATAAAACTGCTCTTAATATCCTATACTGAACTTAAAGCCGAAGAACCGACTTTTGTTCGGTTAGAGTGCAATGAGGTATAGTCGTTGCGCTGGGTATGCAGTTACAGTTGCATGGCTATACTCAATCCCGACTCTTGCGTCCTCGTTCTCGCACTCTGGGCAACGTGAGCAACCCATGTGCGAGATGCGGTAACCAATCCGAGTGGAGCCTTGGGTCACGGCAGAAAGAGAGGGAGCTTCGATGGGGCCACTCTGACTTATTCGGTTTAAGGGCTCACTGAAGTCTGCAGCGTCTGTTCACCAGTAGGTGCGGCTGCAAGCGGGTGTCTGCTTGGAGCAAGCGGCTCGCTATATAAACGTGTATTTGGTTGCGAAACCACCCCCGTCCCAGCAATGGCTTGTGCGCTGGGCTTGGGACCCGCCACCTAAAAACCACTTCCAGTGAAGAAGCAAGGCAAAGCCTCGGATGAGACCCCCCCTTATGATGACGACCACGGCAAATGTTTAAAGGACTACGATTTGAGGGCATGCACCTGGAATGTCCGGACCCTTAATGGGGAAGGTGCCTCTGCCCGGCTGGTTGATGTCCTCGTAAGGACAAAAGCTGACATCACCGCCATCCAAGAAATGCGTTGGACGGGGCAAGGCAAACAATGTCTGGGGCCTTGCGACGTCTACTACAGCTGCCATGTAAAGGAGCGCAAATTCGGAGTTGGATTTGTGGTGGGAGAGAGACTCCGTCGCCGAGTACTGTCGTTCACCCCGGTGGACGAGCGTCTAGCCACAATCCGCATCCAAGCGAGATTCTTCAACATCTCGCTCATCTGCGCCCATGCCCCGACGGAAGAGAAGGATGAGACATCCAAGGATCTCTTCTATGAGCGCTTGGAACGCACGTACGAGCGCTGCCCCCGTCATGATATCAAAATCGTGCTTGGCGACTTCAATGCCAGGGTGGGCAAAGAAGGGATCTTTGGAACCACCGTCGGAAAATTCAGCCTCCACGACGAAACGTCCGACAACGGATTGAGGCTGATCGACTTCGCCGGGGCCCGAAACATGGTAGTATGCAGTACTAGGTTCAAGCATAAAAAGATCCATCAAGCTACCTGGCTGTCTCCGGATTGAAAAACGAGAAACCAAATCGATCATGTTGTGATAGACGGAAGGCACGCTTCCAGTGTTTTAGACGTACGCACACTCCGAGGCCCAAACATCGACTCGGACCACTATCTTGTTGCAGCCAAGATACGCACCCGCCTCTGTGCAGCAAAAAATGTGCGCCCAAATATGCAAGGAAAGCTTAACGTCGAAAAGCTGCCATCACAACAGACAGCCAACGCTTTCGCTACTCGACTCTCACACCTGCTCTCAGAGAGCACTCTTCAACAAACCGACATATGCGAGCAGTGGAACCACATTTCCCGCTCATTAAGTACCGCCGCCGAAGAAGTAGTCGGATTTCAGCGAGCCCGAAAGAACCACTGGTACGATGAGGAGTGTCAGGAAGCTGCAGAAAAAAAAGATGCCACCTACAGGGCCACGCTGCGATCGAGCGCAACGCGCGCTATGTGGGAGCGCTATAGGGATCTGAAGAGGGAAGCGAGACGTATTTGCCGCAACAAGAAGAGAGAGGCAGAAATACGTGAGTGCGAAGAGCTTGAAATGCTGGCCGACAGGAGGAATGCCCGAAAATGTTACCAGAGAGTTAGGCGACTTACGGAAGGTTTAAAGACCGGGGCGCACTCCTGTAAGAACAATAATGGCGACCTAGTAACTGATGTCCAGAGCGTACTTAAATTATGGAGGGAACACTTTTCCGCCCTACTAAATGGTAGCAGCACGGAAAGTTGTGGAGAAGAAGAACCCGAGCCCGCAATCGATGATGACGGAGTCGACGTTCCACCGCCTGACTATGACGAGGTACGTATAGCAATAACGCGGCTGAAAAACAACAAAGCCGCTGGAGCTGACAGCCTGCCAGTTGAGCTATTCAAGTACGGCGGCGAGGAGTTGATAAGGTGCATGCATCAACTCTTGTGCAGAATATGGTCAGATGACTGGAATTTAAGTGTGCTCTGCCCAATCCACAAGAAAGGTGACCCCGCCATTCGCGCCAACTACCGCGGGATCAGCCTTCTAAGCATAGGTTACAAGGTCTTATCGAGCGTATTGTGTGAAAGACTGAAGCCCACCGTCAATGAACTGATTGGGCCTTATCAGTGTGGCTTTAGACCTGGCAAATCCACTATAGACCAGGTATTCACAATACGCCAAATCTTGGAAAAGACCCGCGAGAAAAGGATCGACACTCACCACCTATTTGTCGACTTTAAAGCCGCTTTTGACAGCACTAAAAGGAGTTGCCTTTACGCCGCTATGTCTGAATTTGGCATCCCCTCAAAACTCATACGGCTGTGTAAAATGACGTTGAGCAATACCACCAGCTCCGTCAGAATTGGAAAAGACCTATCCGAGCCGTTCGCCACAAAAAGGGGGTTTCAGACAGGGCGACTCCCTTTCATGTGACTTCTTTAATCTGATGTTAGAGAAGATAATAAGAGCTGCAGAACTGAACCGCTCAGGAACAATTTACTACAAGAGCGTGCAATTGCTGGCTTATGCCGATGACATCGACATCATCGGTATCAAAAACCGCGAAGTCTGTTCTGCCTTTTCCAAGTTGGATAGGGAAGCAAAGCGCATGGGTCTGGTAAACGAGGACAAGACGAAGTATCTCCTGTCATCAAACAAACAGTCAGCACATTCGCGCCTTAGCACCCACGTCACTGTTGACAGTTACAATTTCGAGAAAGTAGAGAATTTCGTTTACTTGGGAACCAGCATTAACACCGATAATAATGTCAGCATTGAAATCCAACGTAGAATCACTCTTGCCAACAAGTGCTACTTTGGACTGAGTAGGCAATTCAGGAGTAAAGTCCTCTCTCGACGTACGAAAACCACGCTCTATAAGTCACTCATCATGCCCGTGCTGGTATATGGCGCAGAAGCATGGACAATGACAACATCCGATGAGGCGGCTCTTGGAGTGTTTGACAGAAAGATTTTGCGGAAGATTTACGGGCCTTTACGCGTTGGCGACGGCGAGTACCGCAGACGATGGAACGATGAGCTGTATGGCTTTACAACGATATGGACATAGTGCAGCGAATTAAAATACAGCGGCGCCGCTGGCTTGGTCATGTCGTTCGAATGGACACCGACGCTCCAGCTCTGAAAGTATTCAACTCGGAACCCGCTGGTGGTAGCAGAGGAAGAGGGAGGCCCCCACTGCGATGGAAAGATCAGGTGGAGAAGGACTTGGCTTCACTTGGCGTTTCCAATTGGCGTCAGTTGGCACAGAGGTGAAACGACTGGCGTGCTTTGCTGAACTCGGCCAAAATCGCTTAGGCGGTTACAGCGCCAAAAAAGAAGAAGAAGAAGAAACTGACGAAACTCGTTCGTCCTTAGTTCAATCCCAGATAATCCTTTCAGAAAGTTATTTCAATGCCATCTACTCTTTGTCTTATATTGAGCTATTTCCTGCTTCATTTCCCTCTAAAAAGACAATTCATTCGAGGTGCGAAACGTTTTTTGCACTGTTTGCAGAGTGAAAGTAATTTTTTTAATTTTCAACCAAAAGTGTTTAAAAAACACTAACTGTACTCTGAAGTAACCATTAACCACCTATTATACGTCTCACAGACCCCGTGGAATAAATAATCTTGAATTTTTTGGCCACCGAGTTTCGTGTAAACTTGTTGGTTTTTCTACCTTGCTCCAAATCCGTCAGTACCACGCAACCGTTCGCTAGATACACGCATTTTTGTCCCGAGGTGCAGTGGTCGGAGAAGCTATGATTTACCTGAAAAATTAGAGGGGCTGTTACGTTTATAATAAAACTGCAGGATCACAGTATTATTGTAATGCTAAATCCGAATATGCCATAAAATGTATAGTTGGACAGTTGTCAAACGAACTGCCAATTTCTGTGAAAATAAGAAAATCTTTTTAAAATTACCACTAATTAGGTTTTTTTGCACGCTGGTCACGAGTTTTGACAACTGTCAAATTGACTGAATTTTTCTAAAAGCTAAGACGATCTTTTTAAAAATGCCACTGATACAGTTTTTAGACATGCTGATCACGAATTTTATGTCAAAGAAAAACTTTGAGAATTGACAGCTGTCAATTTGACTGTTAGTTTTTTATAAAAATAAGAAAACTTTTTTTAAGATGCTGTCAATTTTAAACCTTAAGAGTTGACATCAATCAAAGGGGCTGACAATTTCTCTATAAATAAGAAAAATTTCCCAAGAATTAAACGTACTTTGTTTTAAGGCTCATTGATCTCAAGTTATGTATCATTCCAATATTTTGGTAGACGAGTGTCAAATCAACTTTCATTTTCAACACTCATGTGTACACAATATATTTGTTTATTAAAATGAATGATTTCTCGTTTTCGAATTTGGCCTTCAAATGACCTCGAAGCTGACATTATGGAGGTTAACGGACCT